CGTCTTCCATGAAAATGTATCTGACGCAAAACTTTTTTATTAAAAATCAGAATTTCCATTCAATAAAATTCAATCGACTTTTAACAAAGGAAAACAGCAAACTGAATGCCTTTTAAACTTTTATGAAATGTTGAGCTTTGCTAGTTCTCTTGTCGAAAAAATTGCTTTAATTCTGTGTTGTTTTATCGTATAAAAAAAAGAGCAAATTGTCTTGTCTGATGAGAATTCGAAGACAACGGAAAATGACACAAAAGAAGCACTAAATACAGAGAGATTTCTATCTATCAATATAATCAGAGAAAAGAGAAAATCATCTTGAAACATGAACAGAAATCCTGTGATGTTATGAAAATGGTATTTAGCAAATCTGATCAACTCTAATAAAATGTTTTAAAGTTCTGTGATAGTTGAAAAAGTGATGAAGTGATTTGTCAATAGACTTAATGGTGAATTTGTTGTTGATAGTCCATTCTAATAGCAGATAGAACAATAAATTGATATAATTGATGATAAGGTGAAGTTCGATCTAATAAATCTAATTATCTATTAAGACGTTGTTTTGTTAATAAAGGATAAACTCGATTATTCTCATTTATTTTAATAAGTAAACAATGATATTTGGTACGTGATCTCTGATGAAACGAAGCGCGTTCCGAACATGCAATCAAAGTCAAAAGCAAAAGAAAAAATTGATGATGATGAAACTGGAAATAATTGGATGAAACTTTTACTGTGGATCTATTCAAGTTTCCTAATTCTGGGAAAAATCGAGTTACTTCTGCCTGGTGAAGCAAATTCGAGTTATGAATAAAACAGTAATATAAATGGCGCTAGTTTTGTAAATATCTATCAAATGCTTGATCGCACAGAATTAATTTTATTTTTCCTAGAATCAGGAATATCAGATTCATTTTCTGTGAAAATCTCATTCCATTATTAAGAGTCTCATTTCACTCAAAAATTTTGTCTTTGGTTCGATGACTCATGCATGTTTGATGATAGACTAATATAGATGAAACAAAAAGAGAAAGAGAAATGGAAAGAGAAAGAATATTGTTCATTTGTTCATAGTCGATTTCGACTACCAGGTCAAACAGCATTATTTTCATTGATGGCCGTTGTCACATTGAACAAAAGTGTATATATTGACATACATAAACTACGAAGGATTATTGGTGAAAATAAATATGGAACATTCAATTGTTCAATTAATGGATTTACCTGATGAATTAATTATGATTATTTTAAACAAGTTGGACAATAGTGAAGTACTTTATTCTATAATGGATGTTAACACACGACTCAATCAAATTGTACACGATCCCACGTTTACTACTAAAATAACCTTAACGAAATCTGCTGATCTTACGACAGCACTACCTGATATAATGCTGGATCGATTTTGCTTGCAAATATTGCCTAAAATCCACCATAACATCAAGTGGCTCAATCTTGAATCATCATCTATGGAGCGTATTCTTCTTGCTGCTAACTATCCCAATTTACATCAACTTGACATTTTTATCAATGATCAGAAATGCTTTCTCCATTTAACTGGTAGGAAATCTAGCTTTAATTCTTTTAATCATCAACTCAAAAAGATATTAACACACTCACACTTTCATTAAATTGTATGGAGAAGAAATTAAGAAAAGTCTTTCTCAGCTTGTTTACTAACGAGAAGAATTCGGTTACAGATGTTCTGCGAAATAATTAATAATCAATTTTCCTTCGATTATCGAAAGAGAATAACCTATGTTATATTCTTAATATAATGAAAATAATTCACTCTATCATAAAAAACTTCGTGTAAGCATAAATCATAATGATAGATTTTGACAAAAACGATCTGGAGCTGATAATATGGATAATCTATCATTTTCATCGATTGTACGATAGCTGATAAAGTTAAAATAAAAAATTTTTTTTTTATGCTTTAGATAAATCTTCTCTATGTCGCATGTTCCAAAATCAGATTGTGACATTGTCTCTGACTACTAAGAAAGATGTTCATGATGCAATAACAATGAATGAACGGGCAAATCTATTTTCATATGTCTTAATTATATTTACTAATATTCTTCATTTGAAATTCTATGAGTCAAGTTCATTTATATTATTTAAAGAACCATGTTCATCGTTTTCTTCAACTCTGGTGAAATTATATATAGATGTGTATCTTTTTGATGATTGTCTTTATCTACTCGATGGTCGCTTCGATCAATTGCGCACATTGTTTGTTAATGTTTGTCATATTCTTCCTCTCCGATTAACTATCAACACTAAGGTAAACTATGCAAGCAAGAAAAAAATATTTATTTTGAAAGACTAATCAATTTTTCTAGAATGAACTAGCTAATTTGAAATGTTTTTCGTTGGCCAGTAATAGTGAAACATATGTTTATGATGAACTGATTGTGCCAAATTTACGTCGAATGTCAAATTTAGAAAAGCTATCTTTGCATCTTGTCATTGAATGTAAAGTAAGATTTATCGATGGAGCTAATTTAAAAAGGAATATTATTATTCATATGCCTAATTTAAATGAATTCACATTTAATATTCGATCGATCATTTTAATTAATGATCAAACACATTTACTATCAAATGAAGATATTCAGCATACATTGACAAGTTTAAGTGATCATCAAGTTATTTCATGTGTCGACTATTTTCCAAGTAATAAAACTGGCCAATGTCATTTTTATACATATCCACATACAAGGGTACATTATGACAATATTACCAATAACTTTCCAGGTGGATTATTTAAACATGTTCGAATTGCAACATTATTTGATGAGCGTCCTTTCGAGCATACATTTTTTATCCAAATTGCTCAAGCATTTCCGTTTCTTAACGAATTGATTGTAAGTAATTGTAAAGCACAAAATCAGAAGCTAAACAACGATAGTGAGTATTTTGCAATTATCAAATATCCTCATCTTACTATACTACGACTTATCAAAATTCACGATGATTATGCTGAAGAATTTTTACTTGATATCAAAACCTGTTTTTCAAATTTTATCTCTTTGGTAATGGATTATGACCAATTGCAGAGAATTACTCATAATTTTACAAGAGATGTGACGCGAGTCAATTGTGCTAAAGTCGACTGCTTTTATACTGCGAAACAATCGAATCGATCAAAAGATTTTCATGTTTACTTTCCTGATGTAAAATAATAATCATTGTTCTTTATAATTCAGTAAATAAAATCATTATTTAACACATCTTGTTATAATTGACAGAAGAGGGTGTGGGTGTGTGGGTGTGTGGATGTGGATGTGAATGTGGGGGTGTGGGTGTGGGTGAAGAGAAAACCCAAACACACACCCACATCTACATCCGCACCCGCACCCGCACCCCACACCCACATTCACATCCACACCCACACACCCACACCCACACACCCACACCCGCACCCATACCCCACCCACACCCCACACCCCACACCCACACTCGCACACCCACACAGCCACACCCACACCCCACTCACACACCCCACACCGAGGCCGAAACGCGTTATAAGTACGCTTGGTTTCTAACAAAATTTAATTTTACACACCCACACCCTAGTTTTTCTCATGAGATGTCCAACTCAGGACTGATATATTGCTAAGACGACGATGGCAAAATATTTTTCATACTGAACTTAGATACTAATACGTGCATAAAAACTAAAAAGTCTCAATAAATTGCACAAAATTATTTCAAAAAATTAATTTTCAGAGGGTCTTCGAAACTGTCTTTTGCATCGCTTATTCAAGGGGATCTTCTAATGTGTCGATGACTTTATTGGCTTTTAACAGCAAAGTTTCAGAGTTAATAGAAATCGATCAAAAAGTTATTTTTGTATGTGTCCATTGGATGATGTGCTTTTGGTGAGTGAACTTCGATATGCCAATGATAGCAATCGTGCCAAACTAAACTCAAAATGTGCATTCGCTTCGAGTCGATGAGCTTCTTGGATGGCTTGCTCCTTTGAAGCGATCGATATCAAAGATTGTCGAGTACCAGAAATGATGACGTGAGGATTTTCGACGATATCGTTGTAAGCTAATAAGATATTCATTTCAAATGTCGAGGAAAGTGCTTGCGTCAGACGATAAAAAGCGTTTGTGGACAGATTAGCATTTGTTGACAAACACCCGTGTTCAGTTAGAATATTACGTATGCTATCAAAAAATTGTTCGGTATTCAAATGAGCTGGTATTGTCTCTTCGGAAAATGTATCCATGAAGATTATATCATATTGATTGTTTGTTTTGCTCACATAATGAAAAGCATCGTCTTTGAAGACCTACATATATAAAAGAAAAAGAGAAATTCAATTAATGTTGAAAAGTAGTAAAACGAGGAAGCAAACGTTCAAATGGTCGTCTGTCATTTGTTCGGCAAGGCCAAAAAAGTCTGCAGCCAGTTCAATAACTGTCTCATCAATTTCGACCACATCAATAACGATCGAAGGAAAATAATGCCGAATTAGTATTGGCAAAACACCTCCACCCAGACCAAGAATGAGCACACGATTCACTTCTTGTTTGCACAAAAATGTAGTAAAAAATAGTTTTATCCAAGTAACACACGGTCGAAACGGCCGTCGCAAGTCGACCCCGGTCTGCCAATCCAACCATCCATTGTGTCCAAAATAGAGGATAAGCATATCATCGTGAAATCGGCCAACCACAATATCGTACGCATCCAGGGATGATCGACGCTGAGCAAGAATTAGTTGCGGCGGCTCTAAACCATGGTGAACAATAACTCGTCTTGCGGGGGAGCCGAACCAATCGGTATGCGCAGCTAACCGATCATGGGGCAGAATTACTGAGCAAGGCATTAGACGATTATAGCCCATCAAAGTAACGCCAGGTAGCACGAGTGACATTGGTTTCAAAATACAGGCTGCACCAATTGTAACAGGATGAAGTTTGAGACGACGCTGTTCGAATGTGTGAGACTATTTAAGGAGCAAAAATTAGCGTAAAAAAAGATTATGTATTACAATGTTTAAGTGGCGAACCCACCTGTATTCGAGATGTCGATGAGAGACGTACATGACTACCGATTGTGATCAAGTGAACGTCATCTATGGAGATCATATCTTCAATAATAACATCATCATCAATTTGTGCTCCGAATCGTCGAAGAGCAACAATAAGCCACTGCGTACCGCCTAACAAGGAACCGATCCATTTCTCATAATAGGAAATGATCGACTCGGCCAATGATGTAAACAAACTAGTTCTCAACTCATCAAACGATTGATTACTTGTATCAGGACAGACCTTATTATTTATTAGACGCACATATGCAGCAGAAATTATAAATGAATAGATGAGTAAAAAAACTGGTACCACCAATGGAAGCACATTGAAACTTGAAGTTACCGTTAGAGCCAAAATAACACATGTGGCAAGTAAAAGAATGTTAATGAATTCATTGGGCATTGACTGAAAATCGTTGAGAATTGCTCGTTTCGTGAGCTGCTTCGTTGTTATCATCGTGTGTGATTGATCAACATCGGACAAAATAAAGGGCATAGAACGGGCAGGAACACCAAAAAGAATATCACCTAAATTATCAAATATGACTAGTGTTGTAAATTACAAACACTGAACTAAATCTTATTGCCAAACGCGAAAGCTAAGTCCTTGTACAGTGTGTGTGAGTGAATATTCTTCAGCATTACGTTTTTCAATCGCAGTTTTGACCCCAGTTCTGCAAATCCTTGAAATTTTTATGAAAAAGATAGTCATATCTAATTGGACAATAATGTAGTCACTGGGGCTGCTAGGAGAAGTTGTTGATTCACTAAGTGAGCGCACGATGGCTAAGAGTAGATAGAAAGCTATCGTTTTGATTTTTTGTTTAACTTTAGATAATAGCTCTTTTATTGCGCCAACGCTTCTGTTTCACTCTCAACATATCTTGGTGAGCAAATAATGTATTGTTAGTTGTTTTACTTGTAAAGGAATACGAGATATACCCACAATCCAGAAATTGGCAATTCTATAGAATTATACGTAACGACGGAATTCAACGTCAATTAGGATTAATGAACTCAAAGAATTCCAGCGATCCAAGGAAATATAAGAATTCAATAGAATTCTATTGAATTCCTACATTTGGTTTGCTCCCTCTAGGTTACTTCCCCATCACCCTCAAATTTCCCCTATTCTCCTAGGTTACCCCTAACATTTGCTCCTTCTTCTATGTTACCCTTTCACTTTTACTTCCCCTCTAGGTTACCCTCTCATGTCTGCCCCTCCTTAAGTCTGTCCCCTCATTCTCACCTTTGCTTTTCTTCAAAGTTATTTCCCATTACCCTCATGTTTGTTCCCCCTCCTTCAATAGTTGAAAACTCGGTTGGAAAGTTGAATACTCGAAACAATTCTTTGAGTATCTACATGTATGCTTTTGTTGAATTCTAGGAATTCTATAGAATTTCCATTTTCTGGATCATGGATATTGCTGTCTGCACTCTAAAAAAAAAAGGTATTCCCGGAAACCGGCCAAAAAAGGTTTCCGAAGGCTCGGAAACCCATTTTTTACCCTCGAAAACTTTTTAAAGGGTTTCCGAACCTCGAAAACCCATTTTTTAGCTCTCGGAAACCCTTAAAAGGTTTCGTATAGGAACAAACTCGGAAACCGTTATCGGTTTCCGAGTCCTCGGAAACCCTTTCAAGCGTTTCCGAACTTCGAAAACCCTTTTAGGTTTCCGGGTTTGTTCCTATACGAAACCTTTTAAGGGTTTCCGAGAGCTAAAAAATGGGTTTCCGAGGTTCGGAAACCCTTCAAAAAGTTTCCGAGGGTAAAAAATGGGTTTCCGAGCCTTCGGAAACCTTTTTCGGCCGGTTTCCGGGAATACCTTTTTTTTTAGAGTGTGGCTGGCTTATTTTTTTTTTTTATAAAAGTAAAATATCTTTGCATATTTGAATGTACGAATTCAACTGGAGTCGTGCTTATGAGAGACTAAGCATGATTTACTCTCGAAAACTGCCAATGTTAACCTCAACCCTTATTCTAAGTTCGGAAGAGTCTGATCTCAGTATATCAGATGTTCTAGATAATACATAACTACAGATTACGAAGAATTTTAACGTTTGTTGTTTAAATAAAGACTTGTACGAAAAATAATGTTTCCCTAGTTTTTCTAGCATCGTTGGGCAATTTTAGGCACTAACTCGCTAAGAAACTTAGGTGATGAAGACGAATAAACTAAAACTCGACTTTCCGCACAACTTCATATCTAAATAGAATGATTGCTAAGCATTCTATAAACTGGTTCTCTCCGACCATGACGTCCACATTTTCTGGAATCCGTGTTCGACTAGACAATACGCTACATTTTCGACCCAACATCAGTGTTGTAACCGGTACCGGAAAACAGCCGGTCCGGTCTAGGATTCCTTACCGGCCGGTAGAAACGACTTTTTCCACACCGGCCGGTCTAGATATTTTTTCGATTTTTTGCTAAATTTTTGGTCATTTTTTGCAAAAATAGAGCATAGAAGTGTTTATTTTTGCATGTTAAACAAGTTTTACTGGTGTCCATGACAAAGTCTACAAAGAAAAATGTAGTAGACTGTTTATATTAAGTCAATATTCACGAAAATACACCTCATATATTTTATCTAGCCACTTCATTATCAGGTCCTATGATAGAAAACAAATGAAACCACCGTTCGTTATTGTAATTTATGACATATTTACTTCGATTTTGCACGATTTATATTATGTCCTTTCGTCAAAACTATGTTGTAGAGCTTCATGTGTGTTTCTATTCTACTATCAACATGTAACACGAGTATGATACTTTGAATCTATTTCATTTCAGGCTATATGATATTAAACCCCAAAAAGTTAATAGCTCCTGATGGTTTAAGTAATAGTGGGGTAAAGTGAAGCATTGTGTCTTTTATTATCAGACAGTCTTATATGAAATGAACAAAAACTAATACACTCCAGACAGATGTCAATACTAGACTCTGCATAATTAAGAATTTACAAAAAATAACTTTGACCTAGCCTCTAAGTAAGCTGAAGTGTGTAGTCTTTGTTGTACCCTTTTAGGCAACTTTATTATGTAGTTCACGGATCATGCCCAGAACGAAAGTCAGTATATCAGAAAAAGTGCCAAGTCGTTTTTGACATCGAAGTCCCTGTCGGCAGACTAAAAGAACACAAAGAGACAGATTTTCCACAATTTCTGAAGCCAGCTATGAGGATAGGATCAAGTTTCTTGCCACATCTTTTAATGTGCATTGATAATCATGTTTCAGAAATGCTCCTTAATAATAAAACAGAAGTCTTAAGTAGTTAGTGGACTAATTCAATGTAAGATATGACCCATATAAGATAAGAAAAGTCAATGATGATTCATGCCGGTCTACCGGCCAGTCCGGTCCGGTCTGACCGGTTTAGACCGGTGCCGGTACTGGTCTAGAAAAAGTCCTACCGGTTGCAACACTGCCCAACAGACGAAGTTTTGCAAGAATTCGAATGTCTTTCAAAGTATATGTCGCAGAAGACTCAATTTTAAAGGAAACAGCTCTTTTGTTGTTCAGAAAACAAATAGTATTGAAAAGAAGTATTGTTTTTATTCTATCGCAAGAGAAAAACTTTAAAGACATTTTTGCAATTTATCATAACAAAAATATTGAGGATCAGACAATACTCCTTGTAAATTCCTTTAATTTAGCCAGATGTAGTCGCCCACAGGATGTGATATTCTCTATCATACAGAAAGTCTCTCTGTTCTGAAGGGAAAGGTTATATTAAAAATTTATTTACCTTGCTTTGCACTGTTATTTGCCAAATCAACTCGTGTGAGAGAGCCGATAAGCACGTCTTCTAGAATGCAAACACCCGATCGAAGGAGACATTTGTTGCCAACAAACGATCGACGACCTATTTTTATAGGACCAGCGACGATGCACTGACCATTTGTTGTGACATCGTATGAAACAAAACGTACAGAAGAAGTGATTGTGGCACCATCTTCAATTGTGAGCAGATTTGGTGGTACTTTTAAAAGTGGAACAATCTCATAGGCATGAATATCATTGCCCTCTATTGTGACACCGAGCCAGCGAAGAACCAATGGAACAAACCAGTTCATTTCATCCAAAAGAGATGAAAGACACGAACCAAATGAGTTGAGAATTAGATCACGTAACCAGAATCGACAAAGAAACTCCCAGGAATTTAGCGATTGAGAGAAATTTTGTTGAACATGACCAACACGTGAAAGAAGAAGAAGACCAATACCGGAGCCAAAGACGATCCAGATAAGCCAATTAATGGACAATCTCATGCACATGGGTAACCAATTTGTCGTAGAGCAACTGACTTTAATAATGAGTATATGAATGCTAATCACTGCAAAGATAGCGACAAGTTGAAAGAGTGATTGACCGCAATTTAAGATGCACGGCGATGCTATTTCCTGATGCTTGCCGACAATTCGACCTGTAACGGGTGTTAATGGCTCGATAAGAACATTATCCTGCATGTCCACTCGATCGTGAAGAACGCATCGCGTTCCGATTGAACAATGTGATCCAATAAAAATCTCATGTAACTCATAAATACGATCATGATAGGTAAGAGAGGAAAGAATCACCTCCTCACCAATGTAAGTAGAGACTCCGACCTTGAGAAGCCAAGGAGCATCAATGTGAGTAGTGTAAATGTACACACCATCATGAATGCGAGCACCACATAGACGAAGATAAGTATTATAAAAAGGAGTACCCAGCAAATGCCCAAGCCAATATGTATTGAGCGACCACTGACGTCGTAGGAACCATAAACGATAGTAGCGCCATGAATAGAGTGTATCGCGGCCTCGTGGAAATGGTCCACCAAAGAGTTTCAGGAACACGGGAAATTGAATTAGATGAATAAATGGAATAAGTAGCATTGGCAGAAAATCAAATTCTAATCTCACAGCCATAAAGATTGGCCATAACCACTGCCATGCAAGGAGAACAATACCGAGTGACTCGATAAACCATGATGAATGAGGTCGGAATGAAAAGTCGTCATCATCTTTCTCTTCCTTTTTATTACCAGATTCAGTGACGCAAAGTATGGGTTCCAAGGCTGCAGCGAGTGCTTTCACAGAAGGATTTGTAAACAGTAGACTAATATCCATTTTATCCGTTACTTCTTGTCGAATTAAGTTAAGTGCACACATAGCGCCTAATGATGTACCACCTAACAGGCCGAATGGGGTTCGCACATCTGGTGGTGAAGGCAGACGAAATGCTCGAATAAAAATATCTTGTAATTTCAGCTCGAGTGATGACAATGTTTCTACCCTTCCATTCGAAGATGTCAAGTCGACGGTCTCCTTTGTTTCGTACAATTTTTTTCTGTCAATTTTGCCATTGACATTCAGTGGAAATTCTAGAACAAATACCCATTTTGTCGGAACCATATATGAGGACAATTGAGAACTACATTTATTAAAGATCTCGTCCCGGAGGTCGCCATTCTCGGTGGATTTTTTCACTTGGACATAAGCCGCCAAATAATCATCATCATCAGAGTCCTCTTTCATCACGGCACAATTGATGATGTTCGACGAGGATCGAATTATTATCGATTCAATTGTCGATAGTTCGATGCGTTGACCTCTAAGTTTCACTTGATAGTCTCGACGACCGATAAAAATGAGCTCGCCTGATGCAACATCCAAACGAGCCAAGTCACCAGTTGCATAACATTGTTCACCATCAATATCGATCAATGATTGTGCCGTTAAATCAGCTCGTCCATAGTAGCCCGCAAAGACACCAACGCCTATATATATTACACTAGAACTGATCTTTTATTCATAATAAAAAGCCGATGGCTCACCTCCAATAATAATCTCACCCAGTTGACCAGGTACTACTGGCTGTCGGTATTCATCAAGAAGATAAATGCAATAACCAATTAGTGGATAACCAATGGGCAATGATACAGTTGTAGAGAGTTCTTCGCGACGAACTTCGTGGCAAGTAGCCACCACTGTGATTTCAGCAGGTCCATAGAGATTGAAAAAGCGACTTTGTTCGTCAACAAATGGTAAAAGCTGAATAATGGTCGAACTGAGCAGTGTTTCACCTTAACAAAGTCAAATATTCTAAGAATCTTATAAAGTCAATGTTATAGTAAAAATTTGATTTTATTGATTATTTTATTGTTTGACATAATGTTTGTTCATCTTCAGTTATTCCTCATGTGTAGTTTAGACTTTCTCTCACATGATGATTGAATTATGCAGAAGAAAAGAAATAGTCAAAAGAAAAGACAGAAGAAAAATCCTAAATATAGAAAATAGAAGAAAAAAGATGCTCAGAAACTATGAACTATCCAATTCTTTCTTTCCCTTTCTCTTTTCTTTTCCTCTTCTTTTTCTCTTACCTCCAAAATACCACCAGCGTACTGATTTGACTCTTTGTTGAGCATGATAATTCTCATTAAGAAATTTGCCAAAAGCATTGAGCCATGATGGTACAGGTCCAACAAAAGTGACTTTCTTATCATAAATAGTTTTTGTTACATAATCAAAATCGAAATGACCTCCATTTTTGAGTGCTACTAATTGAGCACCTCGAACTAGAGCACCATTGACTTCATCCAAATGAGCATCAAAAGAAGAACTTGTAAGCTGAAGAACAATATCATTCGTTTGTATGACATGTGTTTCCATATAGGCCATAAAATTTCGATGACGAATTTGAACAGCTTTTGGAGTACCTGTCGATCCCGATGTAAACACAATATGGGAGATAGAATCAGGTGTTACATCAACTTTAGACAATTCTTCAATTTGAGCATCAGTCAAAATATGATAGGATTCAATTACTTCAGAGATATCGAGAATGGGAACATTGAGTGAGCTTATGCGTGAAAGTGACATCTGATTGACAAGTATGAGTTTAGTATCAACTTGATGAACAAGTAACTCAAGTCGATCAAGAGGATCACTTGAATTCAATGGAGCATAAACAGCACCTGACATCATAATACTCATTATACCAACAATCATTTCGATACTTCGATCGATATACTGGCATACAATATCACCTGGATGTACTCCTTTATCATTGATTAGAACAAATGTTAGCTGTCGTACTTGATTAAGTAATTGATTGTAGGTTAGAGATTGATCATCAAGTGTAATAGCCACCTTATTTGGATGGAGAATTGCCTGTTCGATAAATGCTTGATGAATGCAAGTTGTAACATTTGATGTTATCATATAGTTATTTAGTTTTCGTAACATGTCTCGCTCAGTGGGAAGAAGAATCGAAAGTTCATAGATTGGTTGATTTTGTTGATCGAAGGTCGAGCAGAATAGTTGTTGACAGAAACAATGAAAGCGATGAGCTAAAGTTTCTATAGTCGTCTGATTGAAGAGATTCGAGCAGCCGTCGAACGTGCATATCAAGTTGCGTTCGTCTAAATCGTATTGAATAGTAACAGAAAAGTTGGTGGTGATCTGCCTTTCATCAGGTTCAGTGTTGATAGGATACAACACCGTCATTAGTGAATGTGTCTCACCAGATAAGACACCATTCTGCAATATTGGATTGAACTTCACACGGATGGAGACGGTACGAAGTTCAAACGACAGTTCCAGAAAAACTGGGGCGTTTGATGTTGAATCATGATGTAAGGTGGGTGAGAGCTGGGCATATTCATGATCTGTTGTGTGCATCAAGATTTTGCTGATGTTGCCTGTTAGTTGGGAGAAGGATGAGTGTGGATCAAGACGACAGGAAACTCTATGTAAAAATCCGAAAACATTTGTAGAGAAGATCTGAACGAAAGATTTGTGAGAATAATGTTGGAAATCATACATACCTATCAGAAAACATGCTGATGGCCTCGTCCAACTCAGGCCGACATTGGGTGCTTGTATTTTGACAGATGCTTAAATCACGTTCCCCTCCCGTTAACTTGAACAAGAAGGCTGTGTAGCATGTAAAAGTCACATATTCCGGTGTCTTGTTGCTTGTTGATGCAAGATTGAAAACAGCATTCGAGATCTCTGAGTTGAAGATGAACGTGGTCGACGGAACGCTACGAGTTCGATTATCTTCAGATGTCATCTGTGGATCACGAGAGAACGGTAAAATTCGAGTTATGTCAGAAATATGAGAAGCTTCAAGCAATAATGGATCAACAATGGTATTTGTGACAAACAAATCCGAGAAACAACAGTTGATAGATGTCGAAGAATGGCGTAGATTGATTATCTGTAACAGAGAAATCGGACATTATGTGAGGAAGATTGTACTATGGATATCTTGCTGAAGTCTCTCATCGTTTCTAAATTCAGATCTGTACAGGGTATTGCAAAACCCTTTTCTCCCCCTGCTTCGACCTTAAGGTAAAATGATATCACTAAGTATTTTGTACCAAATTGAAGCCCGTAAAAAACTGCATTTATTGGTACTAAATAGTAAAGCTTTATAAAGACCTTTTAATATCGAAGTTCGGAGATTTTCAGAAATTTGATACCTTTTTTGGTATAGAAAAGTATGGTGCCAGTAATTCAAATACGAAATAAAGCATTTTTCTTAGATGTTTTTACATGATTCGATAGAGCTCGACGAGCTCTACAAAACTATATATTTTGAAAATACTTTGAGCCATCTTTTTGTGATAAAAAAAAAAAAAAAATTCAAACAACACACCGAAAAACAAAAAAAAATCATCCTGGTTTTTCATATAAAAAAAATCCAATTTTTTCATTAACATTAGTTTTTTTCATTAGTTATGTTAGCTCAGACATTTTGAAATGTGCTCATTCGATGCCGCGTGAAATACTACATCGAATGAGCCCATTTCGACACGTCTGAGACAGCGAAAATAATGAATAAAACTTAATTTTATTGAAAAATCGAGTGTTTTTCTTCCATATGAAAAAAAGATGAATTTTTTGACATTTTTGTGTTTTTCCGTGTAGTTGTTTGAATTTTTTATCACAAAAAGATGGCTCAAAGTATTTTCAAAATATATAGTTTTGTAGAGCTCGTCGAGCTCTATCGAATCATGTAAAAACATCTAAGAAAAATGTTTTATTTCGTATTTGAATTACTGGCACCATACTTTTCTATACCAAAAAAGGTATCAAATTTCTGAAAATCTCCGAACTTCGATATTAAAAGGTCTTTATAAAGCTTTACTATTTAGTACCAATAAATGCAGTTTTTTACGGGCTTCAATTCGGTATAAAATACTTAGTGAAATCATTTTACCTTAAGGTCGAACCAGGGGGAGAAAAAGGTTTTGCAACACCCTGTACATATAGTGAAATGTGATGCAGTCTTCGATTCTCATGTCCAAATTTCAATAAAGATACGCAGTCCACGTTTCGTTGTACTTAATCCAGATTGCATCTTTGACTTTGGTTCATACAGCCTCTCACAGACAAAAAGAGCGCCTTTTTTCATCTCACTTTTGCATTATTTAATACGTTGTTTAAAAAAAAAGGAAAGTATACTACAAGATGCAGCGCGAAAAGCTATACCATCTACAAAGAAAAGCTTATTCTAATGGTTTACTTTTTGTTTTCAAAAAAAGCAAAAAAATGCTGTCCGACAAATTTTCAACGCTGCGAAAGGATCATTTTTCTACACAAACGAGATAGTTTTTTTCTTATTTCAGTAAATTGTTCTATGTAAATTGTAGAGCTTTGCATGCTGCATCCTATGGTATATTTTATTCTTTTTTTACAAAAATATATTAGTTGATAAAAAGGCGAAATAAGGAAAAAGGAATTTCTCGTCGCATAGAAAAAATTTAATTTTTCCGCAACGTCGAAAACTGATTGCACAGGATTTTGCTTTTTTTGAAAACAAAAATAGTACACAATTAAAATAAGCTTTACTTTATAAATTGTAGTTCTTTTCACGCTGCATGTCGTGATATATTTTGATTTTTTTAAACAACATATTAAGTGATGCAAAAGTGAGATGAAAAAAGATACTTTTTTTTGTCCGTAAGAGAGTGTCCATTTTGTCTCTATAGCCATTGAAAAAAGAAACAAGGAAAAGACGTGATATCGGCATGCACACCCTGAGAAAAGAAAAAAAAGCGAATATTTGCTACCAGACAGAAGATACCTCTACGCTCCGTTATGGCCTCCGCTCTGTAAAAAAGAAAAAGGTGTCATACTGAACCTTAAAAGGTTCTAGATTTGGGTACCATTTTCTGAACCTTTTAAGGTTTTAGCATAATCTGGTTCTATCTGGAACCTTTTTTTCTTCTTCCAAAAATGGTTCTAGCCAGACAAAAAGTAGTTCATTTAACACACTTAGTCTAGTACTGCTGATTAGTTCTATATCTAGGCCTTATTTCTGTCCTTAACGTATTATCCCTACTTCTTATCACTTATTCCTATCCTTAACCCCTTATTTCTATATCTAATCCCTTATTTGTATCCTTAATCCTATATCTAACCCCCTTATTCCTATCCTTAATTCTATATCTAATCCCCTTATTCCTATCCTCAACCCCTTATTTCTATATCTAACCCCTTATTTGTATCCATAACCCTTATCCCTATCATTAACCTCCGTATTCCTGTTCTTAACCTCTTATTTCTATATCTAACATCTTATTTCTATCCTTAACTCTTAAAATCTATATCTATTATATTAACCCAGATTTGCCACGAGTAGAATAAGAGTACACATTCCCTCCTCTATCGATACCAGAAGCGTATAGCTGATGTTTGATGTTCAGACGACCTGAAACAGACAAAATAATTAATGCATATTGTAAGATTGAATTTACCATTGAATTAACTATTCACATATGCCTAACTAGATAAAAACAATAATTTCTGTTGTAATATTAAACTTACCTTTGAATTGATGATTGAGGTATCTCAATGGATAAAAGAATAACTTATTTCATAAGTGAAAACTACCATTTAATTGATTATTGGGACGTACCTAACGAAAAAATTCAATTATTGCATAAGTGAAAACTTAGGTTTGCATTGAGTATCAATATATATCTTAATAATAGATAAAAATATTAACTTATTTTATCATATTACACTGACTTTGGAATTGATTATTGGAATATATATTAACCCTTTGATTACCAAATTATTTTTTGCTGCATTGAATTTGAGTAAGCTGTTAAACTAGCTTTCTTTAGACACAGGAACATATGTCAAAAATACTTTATGTGTTCTTGCATGTAATTTACTCAATGTAAGTTATATGGAACTTTGTTATACTTGAATGAAAACTCTAATCACTAAAGTTTATTAATTGCACAACTTATAGAGTGTTTCCATGGAATAACCAAAAACAATTTTTATGTTGTTTTACACAAAAAGAAATACCACAACAACTGTATTTTATGTTACTAAATATTAGACAAGCTTTCGTACTGCAATATCCGCATCATCGTTTAGGTCCAGCAACAGACATATGTGCTAATAAACGAGCGAAGAATCTACACTGTAAAAAAAAAAGGTACTTTACCGAACCTTGAAAAAAGGTTCGGTAGATGACGAAAAGCGTGCAAATGCGTTCAAAGTTTCAAAAATAGAATAAAAAAATCCACGGAACCTTTAGAGGATCTTACCGTGTACCCAAGTGAAGATCCTTTTTTCTTCGAAACCTTTTTAAGTTCCGTAGAGA